CTTCCAGTTTTTGCCCATTCAGCATGATATTGGCTGTGGGTTTGTCGTAAATAACTTTTATTATTTTGAGATACGTTCCATTGATACCTAGTTTATTGAGAGTTTTTAGCATAAAGGGCTGTTGAATTTTGTCAAAGGCCTTCTCTGCATCTATTGAGATAATCATATGGTTTTTGTCTTTGGTTCTGTTTATGTGGTGGATCACGTTTATAGACTTACACATGTTGAACCAGCCTTGCATCCCCGGAGGAAGCCTACTTGATTGTGATGGGTAAGCTTTTTGATGTGCTGCTGCAATCAGCTTGTCATTATTTTATTGAAGATTTTTGCATCTATGTTCATCATGGATATTGGCCTGAAGTTTTCTTCTTTTGCTGAGTCTCTGTTGGGTTTTGATATCAGGATGACGTTGGTCTCATAAAATGATTTGGGAAGGACTCCGTCTTTTTGGATTGTTTGGAATAGTTTCAGAAGGAGTGGTACCAGCTCCTCTTTGTGTGTCTGGTAGAATTTAGCTGTGAACCCATCTAGACCTGGGCTTTTTTTTGGCTGGTAGGCTATTAATTGCTGCCTCAACATCAGCTCTTGTTATTGGTCTATTCAGGTTTTCAACTTCTTCCTGGTTTAGGCTTGGAAGGGTGAAAGTGTCCAGGAATTTACCCATTTTTTCCAGGTTTACTGGTTTATTTACATAGAGTTGTTTGTAGTAATCTCTAATGGTAGTTTGTATTTCTGGGGAATCAGTGGTGATATCCCTTTGATCACTTTTTATTGCGTCTATTTGGTTCTTCTCTCTTATCTTTTTTATTAATCTGGCTAGGAGTAAGTTTATTTTGTTGATCTTTTCAAAAAACCAGCTATTGGATTTATGGATTTTTTGAAGAGTTTTTTTTTTTAATATCTCTATCTACTTCAGTTCTGCTCTGATCTTAGTTATTTCTTGTCTTCTGCTAGCTTTTGAGTTTTTTGATCTTGCTTTTCTAGTTCTTTCAATTTTGATAATAGGGTGTTGATTTTAGATCTTTCTTTCTTTCTCATGTGGGCATTTATTGCTATAAATTTCCCTCTAGACACTATTTTACATGTGTCCCAGTGATTCCAGTATTTTGTGTCTTCGTTCTTGTTTCGAAGAACATCTTTATTTCTGCAACACCTGGGTCTGTTGGGGGTGGGCTAGGAGAGGGATAGCAGGGGGTGGGGCATTGGGGAGGGATAACATTAGGAGAAATACCTCATGTAAGTGATGGGAGGATAGACGGATGTAGCAAACCACCACGGTATGTGTATACCTATGTAACAATCCTGCACAATCTGCACATGTACCCCAGAACTTAAAGCACAATAACAAAAAAATAAAAATCAATAAAACATATGAAAATTACACTATAAAATAATTGATCTAAAATATATAAAGAACTCTGATAACTCAATAATAAGAAGTCAAGGAACCCATTTGAAAAATGAACAGAATAATTTAAAGAGATACTTTAGGGAAGAATGGTACCAAAAGCAAATGAGCACATGGTAATGGGAGGTATATTCATGAGAAGATACTCAATACCACTTAATATTAGATACATGCAAATTAAAGCCACAATAAGGTATCACTGCATGCCCAATAAAATAGTTAAAAAAAATGCTGATAATAACAAGTTTTGACAAGAATGTAAACAGCAACTCTCATAGATTGCTAGTTGTACAACCACTTTCAAAAACATGTTGTAGCTTCTTATAAACATACACTAACCATGGAACCCAGCAATCTCCCTCCTAGGTATTTCCCCAAGGTAACCAGAAATAAAATTGTGATAGAAAGCCAATTAGGCATCAAGCATCTGGGGAGGGAATTGCTGCAAAAAGACATGATGCACCATTTGGGGGTGACAGAAATGTTCTATATCATGACTTTGGGGGGTGGATCCACAACTTTATACAATTGTCAAAATTTGTAGACCTGTACATTGAAAATTGTGGAATCTTATTCTACATAAATGTTATCATAATAAAGCTGATCACATATTTTATTGCCCAAGATGTAGCAGGAATTGTGTCTACTACTTTTATCTTCCCAACCCTGTTTTTAGAATAGAGTTAAATTTGGAGACTCTATGTAGAAGTGTAACAGAGTCTAGAGCTCTTTGATATATCTACTAAAGCCTTTGGTAGCACATTTCCCAGAATTTGAGATGGCAAATGACTTCAGTTCAAGAAACATTTTGAAGCATGGGTAATTCCAATTCTTTACTTTCAAGAAAGCTGAAAGAGGATCCCATCAAGCTGTTAATCCTTATATTTAAAAAAAGTTTTGATGATGGACCACTAAGTGATTATTGTTTTCACATGTAACTTGGAAATTTGAGGGACAATGTATACCAAAAATCCTCTCATTACCATCTTCCTCTCTATGTAAAGAAGGTTTATAAGCACTTAAATCCATAAAATAGAGGCACGAAATAGTTGCTGAACTCTGTCTTAGTCTCACAATAACAGGGTAGTATGTATTGCATTCCAGGCTTTTGTCTAACCACATAATATTTATCCAAAAATACACACAGTGTCAAAACTTTCATAAATACATTACATTAGAATAAAATTCTATAATGGAAAATAGATTCACATACATTCTAGTCAAAAGAAAAACAATGTAAAATTCTGAAAAATAAAGGCAAGCTTCTCATTTTTAAAAAATAGGTAATAAGTATCACATCTATGAGGTACGTAGATTTCATTGGATGTATTTAAAAGTGACATATCCATCCCCTATCCGCCTACCCCCGTTATCCCTCCCCTAGACCCCCACCCCCTGACAGGCACCGGTACGTGATGTTACTCTCCCTGTGTCCACATGTTCTCATTGTTCAACACCCACTTATGAGTGAGAACATGCGGTGTCTGGTTTTCTGTTCTTGCATCAGTTTGCTGAGAATGATGGTTTCCAGCTTCATCCATGTCCCTGCAAAGGACATGAATTCATTCTTTTTTATGGCTGCATAATATTTCATGGCATATATGTGCCACATTTCTTTATCCAATCTATCGTTGATGGACATTTGGGTTGGTTCCAAGTCTTTGCTATTGTGAACAGTGTCACAATAAACATACGTGTGCATGTGTCTTTATAATAGAATGATTTATAATCCTTTGGGTATATATCCAGTAATGGGATTGCTGGTTCAAATGGTATTTCTATTTTTAGATCCTTGAGGAATTGCCACATTGTCTTCTAAATCACTGAATACATACTTATACAAATATTCTAACACAGACCCAAATACTTCACGTCTAAATCATTAAATACATATTCATACAATTGGGAAAGATAAGCTTTTCTCAGATATCCATATTTGAAATTGTTTGCTTGGTGTTAAAAAGTGTTCCTACCTTTGACCAATGCACCATAGTAAGATTAGGGCTAAGAATAAGGCCTGGCCATGAAAGAGGAGGTGGGAACAGGACAACCCAAACACTGGGCATTTCAGGGAGGGCAGTTTGGGGAAGGCATCCATCTGGAGGTTGATAAAATGGAAACTTACTCCCTATCCATGCCTGCATACCCTTTGAACAATTTCGTGAACTCTCAGGGACAACCACAGCACAGTTTGAAGACTGTTGTTCTATACTTATGTGGCTTTTGACAAGGTGAAGGATTGAGAAGCAATGGGATACCAAATATTTCAAGGAGATGAATTGTTTCCTGCTGGAAGAGAGTGAGAGTTTCCCAGATGGAAAAGAGAATGATATCTTTGAGGAGGAGTCAAATGAGGTTGATAACCTGAATTTCCTCAAGTCTCATGTATGAGAGATTTTAATGTAAGAGCTCTATAATTCTTTCTGTGTGTATGTATATGTTATATATATGATATATATATATATATATATATATATATAAAATATATATTATCTACTACCATTTTGTGGGAGGTGAAAGCTTCATGAAATACTTTTATTATTTTAAATAGACTATCATTGTGTATGTGTGTATATGCACACACACATACATATACATATTCATATACATATACACTATATGTGCAAACATCACCATTTTGTAGAAGATGGTGGCTTTATTTATAAGTTCATGAAATACTTTTATTATTATTTTAAATCAGTTATCATTGTCAAACTATTTTTAAGAGTCATTAATTAATGTTCCCCCTGTCTGATTTTCTAGAGGCAAATCCCAGTTAGTATCAGTGGGAGACCAAATTATGAGAGTGTTTAATTAAGAGTTTCTTTCAGGCACTTTCCAAAGAACAATTTAATATCTGAGAAACTACCTTATTTGTATCTCTAGAATTGAGCAGTGAGAAAACCTTGATAGCAGTCACAAAGATTCAACTAGACCAAACTTTACAAAAATCATTTTAATTTATTTAAGTCTTTAAAATAAAATATTCATTTAATATGATACTCACAGAGGCAATAAAATACATAATTTAATCAACTTTTCAAATTCACTTAAAAATAGAGAGCTATCGTTTTAGAGAGCTCAGCTATTTTTCTTCCCACTAGCATATTAGGGAAAAAGATACAAGTCACAAGACACCACATCATGTAAGAAAGCCAAGTTCTGTCTTGCTTACCTGTCTTGATCAACAGGGAGGAAAAACCTGCTTGCTGCAGCTGCTGGCATCTGGGGACTTGATTTTTGGTGTGTTGAAATTACAATATGAGTTCTTAGGGTCCCTTTAGTGCACCTGTCTGTTTTCTGATTGATGAGAAATGTGTAGGAGGTACTTAGCCACTAGAGTGAAAATCTTCCTTTTCCACAGTTGGGAGCATATTCTTTGACACTCTCTAAGAAGGAAATCTGTACCCCCTCTCCTCCACTATCTCTTAAAATTATTTAGTCCATTTTACTATTTGTCTAATGATGGAAAAATATGGAGACATTATTCAACTGTAAATGGAAACTTTTTATAAAAAGATAAATGCTATGAATTTTAAAAGCAGAATCCCTCATCCCTCTACTGGAAGAGCTAAGTTGAGTTCCTGTTCCCATAATGCTTTGGTACACCAGCAGGATCTGAATTCAGAACATGCAAATGTAAAAAGTCCTTTCAGCCAAAACATTTACAATGGACTCTATGAGGCAGTGAAAATATCCAGTGCACAATGGAACAAAATCTCTAAGGACTGGGTGGTTAAGATTGTGTATTCTGATTGCTGCAGAATGAGGGAAACGAAATTAAATTTGATCTTATGACCAGCTACTTCCCCTTGGAAGCCATAAACCCCTCCTGCCATATACCAGATACTCCTGGCTGTGTTTTGAATACTGCTTAATACTCATTTCCCGATCACTCCTGGACTTGATTCTTCTTATACTACTTACTCCTGCACATCTAATTGACTGTAGTTAAGCATTTCAACCGGGTTTCTGTTATTTGTGCTTTTCTATTTATTTTTTACTATCTCCCATTGAATTAATTCTTCCACTAGAGTCAAGGTATTTCTCCCAATACTTCTGTCTTTGCACCTCCTGCCAACTCCCTGACCATGATGTTTACTGTGGGTGGTGCCTGTGAACTGAATAGCTGTCATATTAGTCACGTGGACCTGCTGCACACAGAAAAACCTGGAGGAAGTTCCTCTCCCAGGTTTGAAGAGCTCTTTGCCAAACACAAACCATTGAAAAGAATTATGTTTTTCCTTGAAAGATCTAGTGGGTATCACTGGACCCCTGAGGTAGAGCAACAGATGTGCAATATCCCTGCTAAGAGCCTGCATTCGATATGGTTATTGAATTCACTTTGTAATAATTTCCTCTCATTTCTGCTTTTGAACTGTCAATGGAGAAGTCAATTTTTTAAAAAATACAGAAGTCAGATATTTCCCCATGTTATATTACAAAGTTATATAAATAAATAGGTTGCAAAGTTTTCAAATAATGATTAAAATGTCAGTGAAAGATGTTCATGTCAATTTTTACAATCATAAATACTGAAGAAAATCTTGACCACTATAATAATAATTCATTATATCTATTTTAACATATAGAAAGTCAAGTCCTCATCTCTGGGCTAGGAGATTCTGTGTAAGAATTAAGTTTTGGTGTTACAGTGTTCTCATTCTCAGTGTTACCTATGTCAGGTTTAGTCTAAGAATATTTTGGAGGAATATTTCAATGACAATATGTGTATATGAGTATATATACATATATAAACCATATATATATGAAACAATATTTGTCCATTAGAGAATTGGACCACCAGTCACTTGGTATTGAAACCAATACATGAATTCAAATGAAATTCAAATTTTTACTTTAACTCTTTTTTGCCAGTTATCCTACCAAAACATAATTAAATATAGTTATGGTTTAAGAATGTAATTTAGAACTTGTCTTTTTTGTCCGTTTGGTATCTACTTTTCATCCAACTGAAATCCTCCATTCGTCTTATAAGACAGTGACTCAGGCTCTGTTTCATTTTCTTTGCTCTCTGGAAGTTCTTCCTTATTTTTCCCATGACATTTCTTATATGCCACATAAACTGGAAAACAATACACAGGTTGTCAAGCAAATTTTAAAATAATAAACTGGAAAATTACTTTGTATAGAGATTATAACCTATGATTCACATGGCAGATCACATTTTCTGTAGACTGGGGCAGCTTAGAGAACGCAATCACCAATCACTCTTCTTAGTTCTATGGCTACTCATAGTCAGATGGATGACTGCACTTCAGGAAGACCTAGCGTAAATCTTCAGGAGACATTTGCTCAGGGCAGCCACAAGCCTTCTTCAGGCATTCAGCCCTGCACGTGGTACTCAACAATGATGAGAACAATAGGAAGCATTGGTTCTGTACCACTCTATCCCAGTGAATGTGCTAGTCCTCAGTAAATACACACATGGTGCAGTGCAAGCTCCAGGACCTTGGTTCAATGGTCCTTCAAGTCCATAGAAAGACTTGAACTGGAACAACATTCCCATTCCCTCCCTGTCTTCATTCGGTCTTTTCCCCAGAGAAAAGAGACTCGGCTGATGGGTGATCAGCCTTCTTTTCTGTGGAGCTGCTGGTCTCTGGTAGCAAGCATTTCTCAGCTGATTTTTAAGGTCAGCTCACCATGATAGGCTCTGCCCTGCAAGGCAAGACCTGCAGTGTATATGTGTGTGTGAGTACACGTCTGCACATGTGTGAGGCCATGGAGGAAATAGTGTATCCATAAGCCCATTTGGTTGTGGATTCAAGCCATGTTTTCCATTTAAGTTTTATCCATAGCAAAAGTGCTATTTTGTTATCTGAATATCTGATTTTTCTTCTACTTCTCAATTGGTCACAAAGGCAAGAGGAGGGCAGAAAATACTACTTTTAGGACCCTCCCCTCAAATTTTAATACCTCACATATAAAATGGCCATAATAATATTATCTACCTCGTAGGGCAATTGTGAACATTAAATGAGATAAAATTAAATGCCTAGCGTGGTCTGCGAAGAATAGTAAATGTTCAATAAATGTTAAATTTCATTATGATACACAGCTGAGAGAGACAATGACTTGCCTCAAAGATCTTATTGACCCAAGATCAATATCTCCTTTAGATTGGTCCCTGAACTTCTAGTAATATATTATTTTTGAAGCCACTGAACCATACTATTGAATTTAATTGAGCTTGTGGTCAATTTGAAGATCCACCACTTATTATAAACTGTTTTAAGCTGAGAGTCCCTCAGCTTAAACTTATGCCAATAATTTTATTTAACCAAACCATACCTCTTATTTATCCCTTTTTCTTTCCCTCCCTTCTTTTCCTCCTTCCCTCTCTCCCTCCCATCTTTCCTTTTTTCCTTTACTTTCTTTCCTTCCTCTCCTTTTTCCAAAATATATTTAGAATCCCACTTTTATCACCAAAATATTGCATCCAGGCATTGTATACACTCAACAAAGATTCCTTTCTTATTTTTATACTTACTGGTATAACTGTGGGAAAGTTCCAGACCAATTTGAATGCTCCCCTTTCCTCATTCCTTCAACTTGACTTTTTATTAATCAATCTCCTTGGGGTTGGTTTTCAACTAGTGCATTTACTTAATTGTTCTGTCAACCAGTCCACTTTCTCTGGCTTGTCTGGTAGACATCATTAAGTAATTATTTGGAAAGATCCCACTGTGTACCAAATTGGGTAGAGCTCTGTACAATCAAACAAGGATCACTATACAGGAAACAAAGTAATTAGGCATGGGCTCCTGCTTCCTGTAGCAGAAGTAAATCCATGGGATGTTTTCAGTGGATCCAGAGTATTCTATTCTAGAAAGGAAGCCTCTGCTTTGAGAATGACATTCAGGGCAGTAGTGCAGAGGAGATTTGCATTCAAGGACAAGTTGAAGACCTGATGAAGCTAAGGAGAAGAGCAAAGCAAAACCAAACAAAACCAAACTGTGTCTCTGGACATTTTGTGACTTAATTTTTACATTATTTTTGTTGTATGCCTTCACTTTATATTCCCCATTAGAATGTCATGAGGCTTTAAAAACTAGCTTTTTTATTTAAAAAATTAGAGTGTAAAAATAGAGGTTAAATATTATCAATCCTTGGAAAGGAAAATGTAGAAAGAATTTTCAACTAGGTGAAGGCCAGTGTGGGTGGTGGGGCCTGAGGGGAGACACTGGGAGAAGTAAGCATTACTTAAATTACACCTAGCACTTTACATAAAGAACATTTTGCTTCAGCCACTTCAATTATATGGGTATTTAAAAATATATACACATATGCACACACACATCTGCCTTGTAAGTGTTAGCCCGGTAAATTTTCTTTGTATACCAGTTTTCTGATAAATATCCTATATCTATAAAGCGTATCAAGACAATGTTTTGAAAAAGATTGCCAAATCCTGAGTTCCTGGGCGAATGCCCAAAGACACACAGCCTAATGCTCCCAGCAAGTTCCTCTGCCTTCCTAATTACTGAGGAAAAGAAAGTCAATGGAGAGAATTGGCCTCCATTACTTTTCACTTAAAAACAATATTTGCTAGAATCTTTTGGTAAAACTACAATCTTTTCATCGCAACTGAAAGTCATGATAATATTATGGTGGCTTTTTCCTCTCATATATTTGTACAATTCACCACCAGGAACAGGGAGTTTTAAAAAAATGCTATTTTAGTAACTCCAGGATTTTTCAAAGAAAATCATCATAAAATGGGATCGGCATGATTTCTTACCTCCTACAAATATTGCGGCAAAGGCGAGCTGGAAAATGCTGTAGATGAGGGGGAAGGTGAAGACGACATTGAGCTCCTCAGGAGTGAAGGAGAGCTGAACGATGGTGGAACACAGCTGCGTGTTCTGCATCCCCGTTTCAAAAGCAACCGTTCGGCACCTAAAGAAGATGTTAAGAGAGTGTATGCTTTAGTTGTTGTTTTGTTTTTGTGTAACATTAAAAGCAGATATAATAATAAGTACATATATATGCATTTTGTCTCTGCTTTTAATGCACATATTTAAGACAGGATTATTCAATATATAACTTTCTATGGAATAAATATACTTATTAATGTATATTATATATAATATCACCTATTGTAGTTAATATAAATAAATAAATATATTTAATATGTACATATGAAGAGTTGGCTCATTTACCACAGTGCTCAGGAAGTGGCCAAGAGGGTTCATTTCATTCTTTTCAATCCTGACCTTGATAACAGTGTAGAGCACAAATTGGTCAGGGGCTCAGAAAATCCTCAACATACGGTATTTGTTGTGGCTGTTTCATTGTTTAATTTGTTTTATTTAGGCTGGGATAAACAGGTGGCCCACACCTGTAATCCCAGCACTTTGGGAGGCTGATGTATGAGGATTTCTTAAGCCCAGGAGTCCAGGAGTTCAAGACAAGTCTGGACAACATAATAATGAGACCCTGTTTCTAAAACAAAACAAAAGTTAGCCAGGCAACGTGGTGTGTGCCGGTGTCTCCCAGCTTCTTTGGAGGCTGAGGTAGGAGGATCACTTGAGCCCAGGAGTTTGAGGCTTCACTAATCTGTGATTGTGCCACTGGGCTCCAGCCTGGGCAACAGAGTGAGACCCTGTCTCAACAAACAATTGTTTTTTTTAAATCTTGACAAAAAGTCTATAAGGTAGAAACTATTGTCCCCATTCTACAGATGATAAAACTCAGAGAAAGAGAAAGCGCTAGGCCTGAGGTCCTCTGGGTGGTGTGTGGTAGGATTGGAAGGCAATCCCAGGTCTGCCTGACTCAAATACTGTGCTCTTCCCGCTGCCCAATGCCACTCCTCTCTTTCCCAACCTCACACATGCATCTGTCTCTACACCTGTGTTCTCTCTGCCAGTCTATTAGATGGATTACTCAAAAAGAATCATTTCTACCCAATACAAAATCTAGATGTGCTAAACCCATTCTAATATTCGGCGCCTTTGGAGGATGAGCTCACCCTGCTGCCAGCTAGAGGAACACCTGTCTATTTCATGGCGCCCAACTGCTTTCATTAATGTTACTCCACTCAGAGAATAAGAATGCCTAGCAATGGAAGAGCCCCATCTGCACTGTAAGGGGAATGGTCCAGAAGACTTTGAGCAAAAAAGAGGCGGTCAGTATTTTCTTCCTGGGGACTTGCATGACTTCGGAATCAATGGGTCAATTTAGAATGACATATTCAGAAATAGGATGAATGTGATGAGAAGCGAAGGATTTTCCTCTTGTCTTTGGTGTTTGCAGCTGTTATGGGTTGATTATATCACCCTCTCCCACAGATACATATATTGAAGTCCTAACACTCCACACCTCAGGATGTGACCTTATGTGGAAACAGGGTCATTGCAGATACAATGAGTTAAGATGGGGGGTCCTCATCCAATATGACTGGTGTCCTTATCAGAAGGGAAGTCTGGCCTCAGAGACGTGCTCTGAAGGAAGACATAGGAAGAAGACAGCTGTCTGCAAGCCATAAGGGAGAAAGATAAGGATCCCTCCATCATAGCCCTAGGAAAGAAGCAATCCGGTGACACCTTCATTTTGACTTCTAGTCTCCAAAATTGTGAGGCAATAAGTGTCTGTTATTTAAGCTACTCAGTTTGTGGTTCTATCTTATGGCAACTCTAGCAAAGGAATACAACAGCTATTACAGATGAAAATTCCCAATGTGATTTACTAAAACGCCATACCTGTGCCAGGGTTGACCAGCGATTCTAGCCAGAAGAAACCCCAGGGTGTAACCTGCCACAGGAAATATTGTCCCTATAATCCACAGATTAGGATGGATGATCCAGGCGCTTTGGTACAGTATGCCTCCAACCACAGCTATGAGCACTATGAGGATGGCGCCCGCGATGGACCCAATCTGGAGTAAAAGGAAGAAGTGAACCCAGCAATCAGAGTCAAAGCAAATCCAAGTATTTTTGTGAGAGACAAAACCTCAGCAGTCTCCTTGTCCTTGGGGGAAATGATGATAAAGTTGTCTTTCTATGTACTTCTAGCCAGGAGGCTGCAATCAGCCCACTGGAAATACTGGCGCTTGTCCCGTGCTTTAAGCTTTAAGAACACAACAGGACATGTAGCATCCATTTGCAATTAGCCTGAAGATTTTTTAGCTTGCAAATTATCCCTGTTAGAAAAAAAGACAACCCATTTCAGCGACAGCCTGGAATTCTTGGCCTCCAGATTCAACTACTCCTATTCTGTTTCCTTTAGTAAATCATGAACTTTATAAACTGTAGTTTCTTCATTTGTAATTGGGGATAAAACCCCAGTTACTTTTTATGATTATTATGATAATGAGAAAATGGATCTAAAACTCTATACAAGTTTTAAAAAGATATAAGCAAATAAAAACCACTGTTGTTATTTTTTTCTTCTTTTCACATTTAAAACAAGATTTGGAGATTATAAACTTTTTTGTCAAGAGAAGCAAGGAATACGATGGACTTGCTTTGCTCCTGAGCAGCAGAATCTATCTATATTATCTGCATTCATATCCATATCATATAGCTAGAATACAGTTGGTAAAGGGGAGTGAATGGTTGCTTTATGAATCTACTGATTGCCAGGCAATGAAATGGCCCAATGGATACAGACACAAAAAATAATATGTTCTGTTTTCTAAGAAAGCCATTTATATGTATTGTATAACACAAACTCACATAACAGAGATAACAGTAATACGTGGTGAGGATAGAATAGAGCCAAACCAAGAGGTGATAGTTCAGTTGAGTGTCTTAAAAATGGGTGGAAACTTTTCCTGTGACTGCAATAAAGAAGGGCATGCTAGGCTGGGCACGATATCTCATTCCTGTAATCCCAGCACTTTGGGAGGATCACTTGAGCACAGTTGTGCAAGAACAGCCTTGGCAGCATAGTGAGATCCCATCTCTCTCTCTCTCTCTACGCACAGATAAAGAAGGGCATTCTAAAAGAGGAGACTGAATGGCTGATGACTTCAGACCCCCACTCGACAGTAATCATAAAATAAGAATAAAACCATTTCATGGATGGAAAACCCTATTGTTTTGATTGTCACGGCGGAACATTTAACGGTGTGGATTGGGATACTTACTTTAAGTATGATCTTTGCTTTTTGGGGCCATTTGTGATTAACAAACATTCCAATGGAAACAGGAACAACAAGAGCAACCAGAGAGGTACCTAAAGACGACAGAAGGGCAATGGGATCAGCAGAAGAGGTGACACAGGAAAGAGACAAACGGAAGAGTAAGCAGCCTAAAAAAGGCTTACATAGTATTTCAGTCTTCCTTCTGGAATACACAAAACAGAATACAGAATTACACACACACACACACACACACACACACACACACTCTCTCTCTCTCTCTCTCTCTCTCTCCCCTTCCTCACTCCAGTAAATAATTTAATATTATTGGTGGATAATTGATAATATCAATGCTGTAAATTCTTTCACTAAATTCTGAATTAATTTTTTAGAGTTTCTTATATTTTCCATATATATTAATTTCAATTTGTCAGAATCTTGGCTTCCTTGGTCTTTATATCTCTAGGAAAAATGCCTCAACAAGGGGTGTGTGTGTGTGTGTGTGTGTGTATGTGATAAAAAGACAATATTTTACATTCGTTAATGATAGTAGAAATAAAAAATAATTTAAAAATATTTTATAATGATAGAAAATGCCCCAAATTAGCTCAAGATCACCAGGTAGTCTGACATCTCATGACTTCTAGTTAAACCTGGTTTTAGTTATTCAAATTTACAGCAGAGAGGTGAGAACATAGGTTGAGAAAGTGTGCTTTAAATTTTCCATGAGATAATGTATTTGACGACCTCTCATGTAATTATAGTTCTTTGCCATAACATGCTCACCCAGCCAGATAAAAGAGCCATTGTTCAGTTTCACCATGTTAAATTTACTGCTGTTCTTGCGACATATGGTTTGTTTCTCCATGTTATTTAACACTATTTGTCCAATAGCTGATTTCAAATAATTTAGCGCCAACAACTTCTAACTTTTCATAGGTTGTGTCTTTTTCAAACATCCTTTTAAAGCAGTGTAAGAAAGTGATATTGAACAGTGAAATTCTGTTGCTTAGTTGTTGCTTAGTATTGACTGAACTAGGTAGATTTAACTCAGACTGGAAAACAGATTCTAGAATCCAAGGCTATAGATATTAATTGAAGTGAATGCACTAATGATGAAAACTTAATTTCCTTGTAGTCTTCTAGCCTTCGTGGCGATATAAGGGTCAGTGATGACTTTTGCCCAGAAATTACTCGACAGACTTAAGTAATGACTAAAGATACTAAGAGTAGGAAAAAAAGATGGATGAAGGGGAGTAAGAAGGGAATAATGGAAAAAAGGATGTGAAAGAGTGGCATTGACACATGTACTGCTGAGATCCCCCAGAAAAATCCCCCTGGGGTATCTTTGCACCCTGCTGCTTTGGGAGTGATATGATTGGGCTCTGTGTCCCTACCCATATCTCACGTTGAATTATAATCCCCAGTTGGAGGATTACAATTAGAGGAGGGGTCTGTTGGAGGAGGGGCCTGGTGGGAGGTGATTGAATTGCGGGGGCAGGCTTCCCCCTTGTTGTTCTTGTGATAGTGAGTTCTCATGATATCTTGTTGTCTATAGGTGTGCAGCACCTCCCTCTTCACTCTCTTCCCCCTGCTGCAGCCACGTAGGAAGTGACTGCTTTCCTTTTCCCTTCTACCATGATTGTAAGATTCCTGAGGCCTCCCCAGCCATGCTTCCTGTACAGTTTGTGGAACTGTGAGCCAATTAAATTTTTCTTTATAAATTATCCAGTCTCAGGTAATTCTTTATAGCATTGTGAGAACTGATGAATATAGGAGGAAAACACCTTCTCCTGGGTCTTTAGACCATTGCCTAAATTTTTGAAGTTTATAGGTCTTAAATTTAAACCATCTGGGTATACAACTTGTTAGTGATGTGGTAGCTTAAATCTAGGTGCAAGTCCTGTGTTTGGAATGTTAGCATGGTTAGTTAGGTTTTGGTCTTATATTTTAATGTGCTGAATCTGGCCCTTCCTGCTAAGAGTTTTCATCTCTTCAGGGCACCCAAGCCAACACAATAAACACATAAGCAGCATCACTTGCCGAAATCTATGACAGAATTGCTTTTCCTTTCCTGACCAGATGAGGCTAGATGAAGTTTTTTAGGGACTTGAGGCACTTTGTGTTTTTCTTTACACCCCCAGTGTGTGGCTCCTGCTTGTAGAGGATATTGTATCTCTTTGGTCTCCAGTGGGCTGGTGATCTTGCTCTTTTCTTTCCCCAGGCTCTGTTTGTTTTACATATTCCTCACATGCCCATGCTCTCTCTGTGAAGTGCCTGTCTATGTGGATGAAAAAGCATCCACTCACAGTTTCACCTTGAATACGTAACTTGGTCTTTAATCAAGTTTACACAGTAGGTATCAGAGGAAAGAAAGGTAGAAAGAAGAGTAAGAATGAAAGAGAGTGATGAATGGATTCATGTGGTGGGACTGGGAGCCAAATAGATTTGGAGCTGAACTTTCTGTATTCTCAAACTCTGGGAACTGTACAAATCATTGAATCCCTCCAAGCTTTGGTTTCCTCATTTGTAAAATGGATGGAGTTGTGTCTGTTTCACAGTGCTGTTGTGAGAATTAAATGATGAAATGGATATAAACTTCTCGGCACAAGACACGAACAAATGTGGTAGAGAGGAGTAGGTACTACAATTTGCAGCAGCGTTTTTTTTTTAGTGGTACCAGCTGCATGGTCTGCCTCCTCCCCATCCAGATGTCAGCATCTGACAGGGGTCAGAAGAATCTTGTATATCAAAAACTCGTACTGAATAGGGCATTTCAAGGAGGAAATTTTTTTCCCCTCTCTAATAGTAATGGTAAAAGTAGGACTAAAAACATTGTAATACAGATTATCTCCACTCAGTATTCACCAAGTTTATACTAATTCAGTTGTATATTTCCTCAATAATACTAATCACAGAAGCAGTCTTTCTGGAAATGGAAGGAATTTCAGTCCAGCTACCCATCCTGACAGGAGTCCCTCTTGCAAGCATCCATGTGGCTTACCATCTAGCCTTTGCTTTTATGCTTCCTTCAGCGGGAAACCCACACCTTTTTGAGGCAGCTCATTGAGATTTGTTTCCAAGGTCAGTGGGGAAAGAAATCCAACTATTTGGCATGTAGTGTACCTGGTGATTGATACTGATGTACTATTTTGCCTACATCTTGTCTTTTATTTGTGATAGTGCTGTGGGAAATGCTTACTCCTGGTATACCGGGAACTCTTTCATTCTCCCCTTGACTCTCATCCCTAAGTTACAACAGTAACTTAATCTCCCACTATAATTTGTTTATCCAAAAACAGAAAATAAGATTTTTGGGATGGGGGTGAAATGAGACAGGGTCATTACTAGTGAATTTGAGTTCTGGAGCATGAGATACAGACATTGCCATTAAATCAATTTTTGCCTCAAGATGTGGCTCACAGGTGAGTGTTAGAAACAGTGTGTTTCACCTGGTAGTTTTCTGTTGTAATACTCCAGATTGCTGACTCAGTGCTCTATTTTGACACCACTACAGGATTTTAAAACATTTCTTCAGGCTGGGTGCGGTGGCTCATGCCTGTAATCCCACTTTGGGAGGCCAAGGTGGGCAGATCACTTGAGGTCAGGAGTTTGAGACCAGCCTGACCAAAATGGTGAAATCCTGTTTCTACTAAAATACAAAAATTAGTTGGGTGTGGTAGTGCATGCCTGTAATCTCAGCTACTAGAGAGGCTGAATCAGGAGAATTACTTGAACTCAAGGAGTGGAGGTTGTAGTTAGCTGAGATCACACCACTGCACTCTAGCCTGGGTGTCAGAGTGAAACTCCATCTCAAAAAAAAAAAAAAAGTTTCTTGGAGTGTCTGGAGGCAAAATCCTGTGACCAAGAACTAGTGACACTCTGGGTTAAGGAATAGGTGGAGGCTCCCACATCCACAAAGCTTAAGCCTCCTCAGTCCAGACTGACAGGTGTGGGGAGGGGGCTCCTCTCCCTGGAGATTCAAATGGCAGAAAAAGCAGATTCTCCCATAAGGTCAAGGTTTGGAATTTACATTCTGCCAAGGCTCATCAAACACAGGGGTGACTTTATAACGAAATTGGGCAAAAAAACTGCTGCAAGGGAAATAATGGTTCGGTGTGAGCCTGGTCTGAGAGGTTAGCAGGGGTAAGCAGAGAGCGTGAGGGTAACAGTCAACAGTCTTGCAGAGGGACGACTTACCTATGTTATCATAGGGAATTACGATGCTCCCAGAGTCAACCCACATTTTGGTATAGATAAGGAGGCACAGCGGCATCATTCCAAGGGCAAGCAGTGTGGAGCATGTGGTCATGCTGACGCTGAAAGGCAACAGGCAGGTTGATACATCCACCTGTGTGTTCTAGTGGAGACGCTGTTTATTTTTATTTTTTAATTTAACTTTTAAGTTTAGGGCTACATGTGCACATTTGTTATACAAGAAAACTTGTGTCATGGTTTTTTTTTTTTTTTTTTTTTGTCCAGATTATTTCATTGCTTAGGTATTAAGCCTAGTACCCATTAGTTATGTTTCCTGCTCCTCTCCCTCCTCCCACCCTCCACCCTTCAATAGGCCCCAGTGTCTGTTGTTTCCCTCTATGTGTCCCTGTATTCTCATCATTTAGCTCCCACTTATAAGTGAGAAAATGCATTATTTGGTTTTCTGTCCTTGTGTTACTTTGCTAATGATAATGGCCTCCAGCTCCATCCATGTTCCTGCAAAGGACATGATCTCATCCATTTTATGGTTGCATAGTATTCCATGGTATGTATGTACCACATTTTCTTTACCCAGTTTACCACTGATGGGCATTTAGGTTGATATGATGTCTTTGCTATTATGCATAGTGCTGCAATGGACATATATGTGCATGTGTCTTTATAATAGAATGATTTGTATTCTTTTGGGTATGTACCCAGTGATGGGATTGATGGGTTGCTTGGTATTTCTGCTTTTAGGTATTTGAGGAATTGCCACACTGCTTTCCACAACGGTTGAACTAATTTATACTCCCACCAACCGTATATAATTGTTCCTTTTTCTCTGTAACCTCACCAGCATCTGCTAATTTTTGTCTTTTTAATAAAAGCCATTCTGGCTGGTGTGATATGGCATCTCATTGTGGTTTTGGTTTGCATTTCTCTAATGGTCAGTGATGTTGAGCCTTTTTTGATTGTCGGCTGCATGTGTGACTTCTTTTGAAAAATGTCCGTTCCTGTCCTTTGCCCACTTTTTAATTGGTTTGTTTGTTGTTTTCTTGGAATCTAATTAAAGAGCTTCTGCATAGCAAAGAAACTATCAACAAACTATCAGATAACCTCCAGAATGGGAGAAAATTTTTATTTTCAATTCATGATTAGAAAGTCCTGCAAGAACCTGTCTCAACCTATAGCATCATCTGGTGTGATGAATAGAAATATACACATGCCCGAGTGTGTTCAGGGCCTGATCTTGAGCAAAATAAGCCACATTTGGTGTCTTTCCACTTTGCCTTGTGCCATCCTCCCCTCCCCTTTTGTTCTTAAGGGTCAGAAGCAGTATTAAATGATGGAGTAAAAATCATCATTAAACAATGTAAAGTTCCCTGGGTGTGCCATCCTTCAAACATTCCATCAAAGAACAGCAAATACATTTAGAGCAGCTAACACTACAAGGGCTGCACGTGTCTGACCATGCTGAGATGGGACGGGCCTCCCTGGGCCCCCGGAATAGAATGCATGTCTGAGGGAGGAGGCCTCAGTGTGTTGCCATGAAGCAAAAAAAATTACTGCCCAAGTGACCCTAGCTTGAGAAAGAAGAGGAAGCAGACTTAAAAATCAAAAGAAAGCATGCGAGCAGCCAGGGTAGCCCTAAATCCTTAGGACTGAGCAAGCCACTGACAATTTAGCAAATGTGTGTTCAGAAGAACTGAGCACATAGTGTCTGGTATCATACCTGCTCAGAGCATTTGTATTTTAGTAAGTGGGTCTGGCTGAGTAGGCTTTCTACATGGAGAAGTTAGTACCAAATGATGCTAAATCTAGTACTAGGACAAAGGGTCAAAGAGTGAGTCTTCCTGGTCCCCTTCAGAGTGATCTATACACCATGTACATTCTCTGCCTTTAAAGCCTGAGCTCTAAAGCCACACACTATCTGGGCTGAAAGCAGTTGGTGCCACTTAGTGTGTTAAAGTGTGTTAATCTGAGTAATTTAGTTGACTTATCTTTACCAGTTTCTTTATCTAACATGGTTGTAAGGGTGGAATGAGCCAACAGTGTCCAGCACTCAGAACAATGCAAAGAACTCTATTAAGAGCTGGTTGCTACCATCATTTTTAAAAATAGGATCTCTGTCTGTCACCCAGGCTAGAGTCACCATCTTGGCTCACTGAAGCCCGTGCTCAAGTGATCCTTGCACCTCAGTCTCCCGAGTAGCTGGGACTACAGGGACAAGCCACCATGCCTGGCTGGAACTACAGGCATGAGCCACCATGCCCAGCTAATTTTTAAATTTTTTGTAGAGATGCGGTTTCACCCTTCGCCCAGGCTGGTCTCAAATTCCTGGGCTTAAGCAATCCTCCCACCTCAGTTTCCCGAGGTGCTGGGATTATAGGCAGTAGCCACCGCACCCTGCATCTCTTTGCTGTGATCACTTATGTAATCGTGTTTGTGTATTTTGTGTTCCACCAAATAGAATCAGGAAACTTAGAGAAATTTCTCTGAAAGGCCCTTCCCCCAATAGGTCATCACTGAAGTTGTCAAGAGTAGTAATTTCTTAAGTGTGTGATGTGTGTACCTGAAAGAAAATGCTAAACATTTATATTACCTGCCTCCCGAAACAACAACAATAACAACACACTATGCTAAGAAAGTAGCTGGCGGGACAGTGCGGTGGCTCACGCCTGTAATCTCAGCACTTGGGGAGGCCGAGGCAGGTGGATCACCTGAGGTCAGGAGTTCGAGACCAGCCTGACCAATAGGATGAAACCTCGTCTCTACTAAAAATACAAAAATTAGCCAGGCCCACCTACTTGGGAAGCTGAGGCAGGAGAATTGCTTGAACCCAAGAGGTGAAGGTTGCAGTGAACTGAGATGGTGCCATTGCATTCTAGCCTGGGCAACAGAGCGAGACTACATCCCACCACCAAAAAAAATAAAAAGATAGTAGTTGACAATGAGAAATTTTGTTTCAAGGCATGTAGATAAATTTGCACAGTTTAGCAAAATAAAGGCTGGGGGCAAAGTCTCTCAGGGAGCTTAATTTCCCTAATATTATATATATATATATATATATATATATATATATATATATATATATTAACCAGAATGGCCTCATTTAAAACAGGTTTAAATAGTTTAGATAAAAATATTTGTTTTAGTAGAGCTAAAATATTATGAAGTAACAAATGCTATGGATGTATTTAAAACTCTAAGCAGTTCAATCTATTCTGGTCATAGGTTAACTTAATTTAGATACAAAATAGATGCTAAGGCAGAATTCTACACAAGACAAATAAGTTAATTTGTTATTAATAGTGCTTTGTCCTACTTATAATGAAAGTACTGGAGTTTGAAGGTGATATTTTCTCTCTTCCTTCCTCCCCTTCTTTCAGTGTTCTCTCTTTTATCTTTCACTTTAAAAACTATATCAGAATGGACTTAAAATTGTCCCAATAATAAATTCACTTTTGTTTCTGTGCATCCAATATTTTTTTCTAGAGTGTGGTGGAAGTCTCAGGGTGGGGGGAAGTGAGGAGGATTTATTACCTGGTTCACAGTAAAGAGAAGGCTGATGAAAATGTGAGAAAATGTTTAAGAAGGAAGTCTTTTTCTGTCTGTTTTTCTTTCAAAGTTTCTTGCAAAACCTTTAATTCTGAATATTGCTAAGATAATCTATGAGGTTGTATCATAATTTTGAGTTTGGTGAGGACAGTTTCTTAAAGACCATGAGGAGGGACACAAGAGGATTTGAAGAAGGAAAGGTTTAGATTTGTGGGCAGCCTGGATGAAGAGATCCTGCAGAGGAACAGGAGAATAGGTGGCTAGAAGCTGATGCTATTTGAATGTATATAAGAACAAAATCAAGCAACTCAAAATGAGGTTAAAAAAATCCACAGATAACAAATTTTAAGAAATAATATAGAAGTGCAAAGTAGCAAAAGAAAATGTCATCTTTTTTTTTTTTCCTTCTTCTTCTTTGAGACAGAGTTTCGCTCTTGTTGCCCAGGCTGGAGGGCAATGGTGCAATTTCAGCTCACCATAACCTCTGCCTCCTGGGTTCAAGCAATTCTCCTGACTCAGCCTCCCGAGTAGCTGGGATTACAGGTGGGCACCACCACGCCCAGTTAATTTTTGTATTTTTATTAGAGATGGGGTTTCACCATGTTGGCCAGGCCTGTCTCAACCTCCTGACCTCAAGTGATCCACGTGGCTCAGCCTCCCAAAGTGCTGGGATGGCAGGCATGAGCCCCCATGCTCTGCCAGAAAACATCTGACATGAAAAATCTGAAGTTCTATAAAAGCCATGGATATCAAAAATAAATGTACTACCATGAACCTCTATTAGAATGAGAGAAAATACTTAAGTGTAAGAAAATTTAAAAACAAAAGCTTTAATTTTGGCTTCAGCTCTATTAACTGCCAGGGAGAATTTTTTTGTGTGTATGGAAATAGCAGAAAGAATAAATGTAAGTTTAGTGAATGTTGAGGAATTCAGTGAAGTCGGTGTTAAGTGATGCAAAAGATTTTAATCATATTAGGAGTAAAATACCAAGTTGAAGGATCAAACGTAGTATAGACATTGGAGAAATGATAAGTGATCGAAACAGTGTAGAGAAAGCTTACGAGCCTGCATAGGGGAAGCAGGTAGATCTTGGTGATTCCAGTTCTGACTCAGGCATGCCTCCACTCAATGACCTTGGCCAAGGTTATGAATCTTAATTATCTGCCAAATGCAGAAAATAATAGTTTTAACTTTACAGGATTCTTCTGAGGATGAAATACACCATTGTATTTTGAGTCCTTAGCACTGTGCATTGTTTAATATGCTTAATTGTTTAATAATGTTTAATAAATAATAGCTAGCAAAATAAATGTTACTGGAGAGGAGCAATGTTTGGTTACTTTGAGGGAGAATAAAGAAAAAAGCCAAATGGTTTTTGGTTAGTTCTCCAAGAATAGAGAAGAGAAAGACATTTATGGGGTTGACATAGGAAGGACTGAGTCCTGTGGATTTGTGATAAGCCAGAGGGTCATGTTTCTGGAATATCTAAAATATCAGTGGATACTGAAGTGGAAAGTGAAAAATTTAACAGCATTTGCCCAAAGAACAAAGGATGTGATAGGAAAATCTACAAAATAGAAAATCTATAAAATAATAAAAAAGGAATGTAGAAAGTAGGTGGTAAGGAAGAAATTGGTGAAACTCAGAGAAGGATGCATAAGAATGGATTCTCCAAAAAAGCAGCCAAAGAAAGGAGGTGAGAAGTCTTTGCATGGTGTGGCTGAGGCCATTAAGAAGGATGAAGACCCCAGATATTTGCCTGTGTCTGGGGAGAGAGCAGACACAAAGGAGATAGGAGGTTTCTGTGTCCCCTGAACTATGGGTTTTGGTCACCAGCAGATTCACCTGAGAGGTCACCTTCTCTTCTGTCTGATGCTTTTTGTGCATGTGATGTCCACAGCACAGCTGTAACTTAGGAGAAACTATATGTGCACTGATCAGATTCACAAACAACTTTCCAGGCTGGGAATTGTCAGAGAAGGAACTGAAATAGTACTTGCTGGATTTCAATGAGCAAGGATTACTGTCTATTGTCTTTTATTTTTCAAAGTCACTAGAGATTGCAAAATGCAGTGGCTCTCCAGGTTCATAAGAGGTGACAGGGTGAGAGGGAAATGTTTTGGTTTCTTCTCCCAAGAACCATAACCAGGAGAGTTAGAACAGGTGGAATGGCTTTGCTGGCATTGTGTGGTATCAGCTCTATTAGTGAAGGTGACTGTTGACATAAACAATCGTGTCTTCATGCCATCGCTAGAGTTCAAGTGGAGATGGAGAAGGTAAAGTTCTGAGTGTACACAATTGGAAATATAAATGTTAGCTAGGATTGTATCTAAATAAATTATCAGGAGACTTTATCCAATTCTCCATCCAGAAGAATAAAAAATTTCAGAAAACTGTTACCTAATAGCTTAGGTTTTACTCTTTGAATTCATTTGTATTGAAGAAATATTAGAATATTGTTTTCCTAACACACAATGTGTAATATCATCTTACACAGCAGTATAATTGAATCTCTTCTCAATGATTCTCTGATGATAAACATGATTATCAGCTGTTCTAAAATACAGTGACATCTTCTTGTGTTTGTAGAAGAATAAGTGATACAGAGACCAGAGACTAGAATAAGTTCTACAGAAACCAGAGAGAATAAGTGATGGAGAGACGGCTGTGTGTTGTCAGTGGTCTGCTTTGATTTGTAGGCATTTCGATCTTCTCTTTTGCCTTTCTTAACACTCTGCTTCCTTCCCCACTTCTTATTTCTGGGAAATAGCACAACAAAGCTTTAGAATAAAAATAGTTAAGTAGGTCCTGCATTAGGAGCATTAAGTGAAATTTATGAGATTAAGTGAAATTTATTTTGGGTGTGCAGGATCTCTTATTGGGTCTTGTTGAAATCTGGAGAGGTGAATTTGCTCCATGTCTCATTATAGGGGTTATTCTGACTTGTTGGAAGGATTCATTTGCACAGATATAGCTGGAGGCTTCATATTCTACTTTGGTTCTGATTTTTAAAAAAATTATAGGGATTGTTATGCTAGGTAGACAGGATTACATAATCATCTCCTGTTTCAAGAGAAATAACATTTCCTTAAAACCAGAGAAAAATGTAAATTGGAGCTTTTAGGTTAGATTTTACTGTGTTAGCTCACAGAAGAGAATTCATTTCAACAACCTAATAGCCTAGCAGCACACACATTTTTCTTCTGTCTTATAAAAGGGTTCCATGTGTGGCATTACATTGAGGTACAAAACTCTTCTGCATTAAAAGTTACAAATGTCATGAGAAAGCTGTTTAGTGGAGGTCAAAGCCCAAGGTTCCACGTAGTTCACTTTTCTCGGTTTAATAGGTACCGGCATTTTGAATTCTCACTTCTGTGTACCTGCGTCCAGGTCAAACTAAATTGAAGTCTAAAAAGACCTTATTGCTACACTGTGGTTCACAGATTAACTAAACCCTGAATAGCACTTGCCATTCTTTGTTCTTTTATGGGCTTTCCTTAAGAAAAAGCAATTGCAAGGTGGATACCGTGTGTTTTCTTACGTGAAAGACTGAATCGTGTGAAGGTATAGAGTTTGTATGACTTTTCTAAAGATTTTTGAGGAACCAGCACCAGTTGAAATGAGACAGCAGGTTCCTAATTGCTCACTGGACACTCTGTCGATCCAGTGCTTACATTGCTACACTGTGTGCTTTTCTCCTCTGCCTATAGTAGCTGGGGATGAACAGAGCTGATTGCCTACTGTACATTATGTAATAAGTACATGTTGCATTGGCATCTGGATGGTTTGCAGAAGGAAATGCATACCTTTCACAAGAAATGAATTGTGAGCTAAGGAAAAAGACGTTTGTCCATTCAACTTTAAGCATTAAAGTTCTCAGTCTAGTCACATTAATGCTTCATCTTATTTCTATTAGTTTTTTTTCCCCCTAGTGCTAGTTCAGACTGCCATGGGATGAATTGGGCAAACATTGCAATTTAGATTACTCTGTGGGAAGTGGAGAAACCATTTTGTTTATTTTGTAGTAAAGTAAGCATAATTTTAAAAAAGCCTCTGTAGGCTTTTTTCTCCCACTTTTAATGCCAGTAGAGGTAAAGCAAATTTATAAATTCTTCCTTAGATTTTATACCAGGAAAATGTTTGCCAAAAAAACTGGCTATATTTGATGGAGCTGACTGCTATCTCACTAGAGTTTCTAATGTCTGACAAATAGTTTGATTTTATGACTGTACCCAGAGCTCCTCATCATTACAAAGAAAGTGTATTTTGCGTATTTTTTTTTTTTCCTTGCTGCCAACAGGATAAACCTCCTCAGCTGCAGCTTGTGGTTTGGAAAAGATTACTATTTTGAAAAACTTTGAATCTTTTCCTAGAGATCAACAGCAATTATGCAACCCCCTGTTAACTGAGTTAGATTGCAAAGCACAAACACAAAATGTAAATCCCCCAATTCCAATAGCTAAACAGCTGTGCTAGAAGGCATGTGAATGCATTTATTCCCTCCTGTTTAATTCTTTAGTCATACTTTAGATCCGTGGCAAATCAGCTGGACATTCAGAATGCCATAAGCTTCTGGAAGGATGACCCCCAGGTGATTGCAGGAGTTAGAGGTGTAAATAATCTTACCTCAGGTCCATGTCGCCGTCAACCCAATAGGCCAAGATATTGGAGGCAGTTCCTCCTGGGCAGCATCCCATAATGAGCACCACCACAGCCTGGACGGGGAGGACGTCAAAGGCCACTGACAGAATGAATCCCATGAGGGGCATGATTCCAAACTGACAGAGGAAGCCAACACAGATGCCCCACGGCCGCTTTATGTGTCCTAGAAATTTCTTGACTTCCACGTTGCATCCCATGGAGAACATCACCAGGGCCAACAGGACGGTCAGCACGGTACTCAGGACCACACTTAGAATGTTATTGAAATTGCTCTCAGGTACCACACAGGATGCGCCGGAGCAAACTGTTGCATTGTCCACACAGATGTTCCGGTAACTCATTGCTGGGACTGCTTCTCAACAGGCTGAGTCCACAGAAGTGCTGGTCCCTGGGCCCTGGCTCTGCTGCCAGTTGAGATAAGCAGTGTTTACTTCCACCCCATCAAACTTTTAAAGCCCTCCTAAAAATATGTCACTTGGTGTCTCTTTTGAAAGCCACCTTAGGGAAGTAATAAAAAACAATAAATGCTAGTATGTCAGTTTCGAGAGGTAACATTACAACACAGAGCACATTGTGGATCATAAACATTCAGCAAAATTATTGGTCAAGACAGAGAGTTAAGATTAATCATTTACTGGCATGATAATGAACCATGCCATATAAAAAGAGCCGTGTTAATGTTTAATGCCACGAAGGTTTGTTGCATAATTTCAGTTAAGTGACACTTAAAATCAACTCGGCTTAGTACAGAATCTTATAGGGATTGAGCCATAGGAACGCATATTGTTCTCACATTTCCCTGTAAATAGAAGGATTTAGGGTCCTGAATCTTTGAGTGCCCTGTCCCAAATTATATTGCAAATTAGGTGTCAGACTGTGAACTGCGACCCAAATCTCCAATTTCCTCCCCTAATAGTTTTGCTACTGTATCAGTGTTTCCTGGAATTGCTCTGTAGTGTCCATAAAGTATAGGGAAGTTTGAGAAACTTCTGGGGCCTTGGTGCAAATCTGAGACAGTAATATTTGGGAGGACAGAATGTTTTCTGGTGGAAAGGATCTGACTTGTACAGCCACCCTCAATTACTTACACATGCAATTATCTGTGCGTTGTCATAGTAACAGAGTGCTTTATAAATGGAGACAATACAATTATTTAGAGGGATGAACCTCAGAGGATTAGGTCAAAGTGACAGGATCTCTTTGTGCTTGGAGTCATAAATAGAGATTAGATTTTTTTTTTTTTTTTTTTTTGGCAGAGGGATTCCAAGGGAGTTTTGTGTAAATGTCAAATAGTTGACCTCATTATGGGCAGAACGCTGTATTTTGGTGTATAGGGAAGATAAAGAAAGAGGTAGAGAAGAGATTGTCCTGTTTTCAGGAGTTTATAACCCAGTTGTGTCAGGAGTTCATAAGCCAATTGACGCAGCAAAAGAAAAAAAATTGAATATTTCGATTATGATTCACAAATTATAGGACAAATTGTAATTTATTCATCAACTTAATAATCTTAAATTAAGTGGGATTAGCACCCCCATTTTACAGATGAGGATTTAAGGGTTGAGAAAATGGAGTGCTTTAGATAAGGCTAAAGGGAAATGAGAGAACAATTTTCTTTCCTGTGGCTCATATCTGGAAATACTGGAACCCAGCTTTCCGATTATGGGCAGAAAACAGTTGGTTTGGCTTGCTGGGGATTGGAGTAATATCTTAGAACAGAGCTTCTGAAACTCGGTGTGAACGGGATTCCCCCGGAGGCCTTGTTAAAATGCAGATTCTGATTCTGGAGGTCTAGGATGAGTCTTCTTTCTGGCAAGCTTGTAGTCGATGGTGATGGCACTGATCTGCTGTCACACTTTTAGTATCACGGCCTCAGGATATCATGGTGACAACAGTTGTACCCATGCTTGTGACAATGGAACTTCTGGTTACAACTGAAAGCAGCTTTTGCAGAGAAACTCAATATGGGACAATTAACCTTTTATACAGCTTGAGAAAATGTGAGCTGTGGCTAGCAGAATGGGCCACTGAGCAAAGAGCTAATAGAGGGAAATGTCCAAGCCGCTGGTGGCAGGTGGTGGCGGTGATGGGGGCTAGGGATTGAGCTACTGGGAAAAACCTGAGCCTTTTCCTTCCAGGGAAACCACGATTTATACTTGTTGATGTGGCTCCTGGCCCAGGAGAGAATCTCCGAGTTGCCGGGTCTCACTACCTGCCTTTTCTAGCACAAGTGGGCTGACATTAGCTCTGGACTGGCTGCCCGCCAATTCCTGGGAGAGCCTCTGCCTTTCCTACCTCCTTCCCCACCTTAACAGCTAAATGATAAGCCAGGTAATTCCCAAAGAGGCCTCCCCTCCCACTCCTAATGTGTCATGACTTGGCCCTACCCTGCTGGTCTCTCCAAGCATCTCCTGGGACTGACCTCTGGTCTACTTCTGTCGGAAGCTGGCCCTCCCCAGGGCAGATGAGCCAAGTGCACTCCCTGCTGCCACACCTGAGCACCTGCACCTGAGCACCTGTGGCTGGCTCTTCCCCCTCACCGCACCCCACCCCGAAAACTGATTCAGGCAGATGTCCATTCAGTGTTGATCAGTTTACAGTCTCTCCTCTCCGCATTCTCTTAACCTCAAACATTAGGTGAAGGGCAGAAAGCTAGCCCAGGATTGAACGGCAAATAGCCTCTTTGCCAGGTCTGATCTGCAAAGGAAAATTTGAGCCCTGCAGGTGGGAAGGATTTGGATCCTGAAATTTCTCTTAAAGTTGGAAGGCTGCAGTGCCAGGCCCAATGCACAGGGCTCAAGACAAGAATATTCAGACACCCTCCTTTGAACTCAAATGGGGTTCCCAGGGCAGGCCTCCTGTTTTGGGCGAGGGCTGTGGCTGGGCTGGCCAGGTGTCATCCATGCTTAGGCTTTTTGCCCACATGGCTAGAAGCAGGGAAGAAAAGTGAAGAGAGCAGAAAGCTGGTTCAGAACAAAGCTAGTCTCAAATTTCAGATGACTTGCTAAGGAGATTTTAGGCTCCCAGGGGCAGAATGCTTTGCATATAGACAACTTGCAAATGAGCGGTCTGTTTGACTAGACAGAGTGCTACAGTTCTGCTTATAAAAAAGTGCCAATGCATTTTTAATTTTCACATTGTTTTTACATAAATTTGCACATTGGGCTCGAGAGGTTTTACAGTCAAGTACTGGAATGATTCACAATTAATTAGTACACTTAACTTCAGCTATATTCAAATCCAGACACTGACAGTATCTAAATATATAAAAATCATTCTATTTAATTGTAACACGGAGTTGGGAACAGACGCACACCTGAGAGGAGTAGTCAGGAGGCTGGGGCTTGATTTTCATTGTCATCCTTCTCAGTCATTTCTGCACCATTTCATCACACTCTGCGCATGCAGGCCACCCTGCAAGAAACCAGGAGCCGATTCCTGCTTCTGGCCGCCTGGGTGCAGACATGAGAATTGTGGTTTAATTTGACATCCCAGGCTTCCCTTTGGTTTCTGTATATCAATTGGAGGACGCCAGGGTTTAATAGCTTTCTATCATGTTTGCCCTGAAGTTCACATGATAAAAGATGAGCTTTCTATCTTCTGTTGTGTTTCATCAGAAATGGCTCTATTCAGATCAATGGCCGTCTCGGATTTGAGTGATTCCGTTAAGCGCTTTCCTGTGACTGAGGTTGTCCCCCTCTCTCTCCTCTCTAGTTCCTTCCTACAGACTGATCTTTTATGGAACCTGAAAGTTCCACAGTTAGAGCTCTTTGGAGTTACCAGACCTTCTTTAGGACAAAAAGGTACTCTGGGGAGAATGGCCTGCGAATGACTGACTCTTCATTCTTGAGGGATTGGAGGAAAAAGGCAGCATAGTATTGAGGAGAGAAAGCAGGATAGAAGAACCAGGAGTCTACTGGATGGAAAATGCACTGGGCTTGGAGTCAGAACTGGGTTCTAGATCTGCTTCTTTTGAAAATACTGTTCAGGCTATTAAGGTTTTTATGAATGAATGTGAATCCTTATGAAACGTCTGTAGGATGGTCCCACCACTTTGGAAAATGATTATAGCTGAGTATCCACATGTCCTCTGACCCAGTCATTCCAGCCCTTGAGAAGAGGTCATGAGAGAAGAAGGCTGGGAGTAAAGATGGAAGAATTTGGGGGATATACAGCTAGGAAGTGCATAGGTGGATGGATAGTTCACTTTTGAGGGACTGTGTTAAGGAAAAAAACTCTTCCTGAGTCCACAAGGGATGTGGTTTCAAAGGCAGAAATATCCCAGCACCATGCCTCCATCCATGCCCGCGTCAGAGAATGTAAAGTTCTATGTCTAAGTTTTCCAAGCTCGGGCTAGGTAGAAATTCCAGGTGAGCATCTTTGTTCAAAAAGCCCACCAAAAGCTCTGGGAGGAGGGCGCACTATTGTGGGCCAGGCAGCCAATCCAGGTTCAGAGTCTAAGATCAATCACCCCAGAGGAAGTTTGAAAGAACTCCTTTCATTGGACAAGAACATGAATGAGCCAGGAGTAACTCCAGGGTGAAAACTCCACGGCTCCTCACGTGGATCCCCTTCCATGGCAGCGTGGGAACTGTCTCTCCTTCTCTCTCTTTCTCTCTCTCTGCCTAATAAATCGCTCTCTGCCAACTCTCTGCCTAATAAATCGCTTTCTGAAAAACTCTTTGGGTCCACGATATTTATTGAAGCTCACCGTACTTCCCAGGGACCCTTCCCCCATTCTTGGGGTCAGAGAGGCCAAGGACCTGGGCACCTCGGGGAAAACATTGCAATGGGGAGGGAGCTGAGTGGCCCCCATTCCAATCAGGAAACTGGTGCTGCTGCTCCCATCCCGGCTACACCTTCAGCATTTTAGCAAAGGTTGGCTCTGTTAATCATCGTATGTCTTACTTATTTTGTTATTGTTGTCAAACGTTTTCTAAATATCTGAAAACATTAAACTCTCTGAACCTATAATTAAATACTTTTTGGTTAATCATTCCTAGATAAACCTTCAAGCAAATCCTCTTCACAGACGGCAACTTTTGCACGCTTTCTGGTTCACTAGTAACAGGAAATCTCAAAGTAGAAAATTAATCAATGTATTTTGCCAATAGCTCCTGTTGTCTCTTGCAGGCATGACAAATGTTTTGTTACTCACATTTTTGTCTTTGCTTTTAGAATGTGGATGAATAGCGAATTCCTGTAAATCCATGACCTTGCGGTGGCTGATTGTGTTATTGCTCACAGTTAATTGCTTCCTACTCCTCCGTAATGAGATTCTACAGCCACACCTGTTGAGACTGACTTGCAGTGATTCCCTGTTGAAGGAGTAGCCACTTTATTTATTTTTTGTCTTTTTTTGTGGGGTAGGGGACTGAATCTTGCTCTGTCACCCAGGCCGGAGTGCAGTGGTGTGATCACAGCTCACTGTAGCCTCCATTGCCCAGGCTCAAGCAATTCTCCCACCTCACTCTCTCTACTAGCCGGGACCACAGGCATGCACTATCATGCCTGACTAACTTTTTAATTTTTTGTAAAGATGAGCGGGGGTGGGATGGGGTTGGAGGGTGTGCTGGAGAGAGTCTCACTATATTGCCCAGAGTGATCTCAAACTCCTGGGCTGGAGCAGTCCTCTCATCTTGGCTTCCTAAAGTTCTGGGATTATAGGCACCGGCCACCACACCTGCCCAGAATAGCCAATTGTCAAGCATTAGTGTTAAACCATGGGTTTGCTTTGGCCAAGTAAGTTATAGTGATAGCAATGGGTATGCTGCTTCCAGGGAGAAACTCCTAAAATCATTGCATGTTTGCACAACGTTTTTCCCATTCTTTCCCCTTTGAAAGTGAGTGGCAAATCTCAGTTAAAAGCTGTTCCCTCATCTGTTTGTAGAATGAGAAGATGCATGGAGCAGAGCCTCGGAAGCCACAGAAACATGAGGTTGTGCTGTAGACAACAGGGAGCGTGGGGACTTTTGTAATATGGTATAAAATAGTAAAAACTGACTGTTACTTATCTGCTGTGATTTTCAAGCTAATCAGATCAACATTTTCTGTTAGTTTGTAGGAATTACCCATTATAGGTTAATTGTGTTCCCACAAAATTCATGAATGGGAAGTTCTAATCCCTACTACCTCAGAATGTAATAATATTTGGAGATAAGGTCTTTCAAGTGCTGGTTAAGTTATAATATGGCTCTTAGGGTGGTGTCCTCAGAAAAAAAGGGCATTTGGACACATTGAGAGACATGGGGAATGCCTGCCAATCTATCTCTGGTGATGTTTTCCATCTTAAAGTAAATTTTATTGTTTTTTAAAAATATGATGTACTAGTCTGTTCTCATGCTGCTAATAAAGACATATCTGAGACTGGATAATTTATAATGGACTCACAGTTTCACATGGCTAGGGTGGCCTCACAATGATGGGGGAGAAGCAAGAGACGTCTTACATGGTGGCAGGCAAGAGAGCATGTGCTGGGGAGCTCCCATTTATAAAACCATCAGATCTGTGAGACTTATTCTCAGGAGAACAGTATGGAGGAAACTGCCCCAATGATTATCAATGATCTCCATCTGGCCCCACCCTTGACACATGGTGATTATTATAATTCAAGGTGAGATTTGGGTGGAGACACAGAGCCAAACCATGTCAATGACTACAGCAGATTTCTCCTTGTAGTGCTTGTGTGGAATATCTTTTTGTGTCCTTTTATTTGTAATCTTTCTTTTTCTTTAAATTTAAGCTGTTTTTTTAACAGCAATGTAGAGTTTATTTATTCTGAAAATTCCTTTCACTTAATTTTTGATATAATTTATTGTATATCTGGGTTTAAATCTTTAGTTTTATCAAATACTTCCTATTTGAATACATATTTGATGTTCCCTTTTCTTTCTTGCCTTGGTTTTATTATTTTCTTTATTTTTATTTTATTTTTAAATATATATTTTATTGCACTTTATGTTATGGGGTACATGTGCAGAACATGCATGATTGTTGCATGGGTACATACATGGCAGTGTGGTTTGCTGCCTCCATCCCCATCACCTATATCTGGCATTTCTCCCCATGTTATCCCTCCCCAACTCCCTACCCCATGCTATCCCTCCCCTAGTTTCCCCCAACAGACCCCAGTGTGTGATGCTCCCCTTCTTGTGTCCATGTGTTCTCATTGTTCAACACGCGCCTATGAGTGAGAACATGTGGTGTTTGATTTTCTGTTCTTGTGGCAGTTTGCTGAGAATGATGGTTTCCAGATTCACCTATGTCCCTACAAAGGACATGAACTCATCATTTTTTATGGCTGCATAGTAGTCCATAGTGTATATGTGCAACATTTTCCTTGTCCAGTCTATCATCGTTGGGCAGTTGGGTTGGCTCCAGGTCTTTGCTATTGTAAACAGTGCCGCTGTGAACATACGTGTGCATGTGTCTTTATAATAGAATGATTTATAATCCTTTGGGTATATACCCAGTAATGGGATTGCTGGGTCAAATGGAATGTCTATTTGTAGATCCTTGAAGAATCACCACACTGTGATTTCTGAGTTGCTTACTCTATTTTATAGATCATTTTAAATATTTTTTCCATCCTTTATTTTGAATCTATTCTTCTGGTCTGTCTACCAGTTCTCTAAATCTATTTTCATTCTGCTGTTTATTCTGCTGCTAAGCTAATCGATATGTTTCTAATTTCAATTATTGTACCTTTTATTTCCAGAATTTTCATTTTTTTAAGCTGTCTAGTTCTCTGATGAAAATTTTGTTTGTGATCTTCTTGAACACAGTAAGCAGACTTCCTAAAAATACAGACTCTCCAGTATCTGGAAACACCATGGATCTGATTCTATTGTCTTTTTTCCATACTGGGTTTCATTTATGTTGGTCTGTCTCCTTGCTTATTTAAAAAAATTATATAGCAGACTCCAATCACTGTCTTCTATTCCCAAAACATTATCAGCTGTGCAGTGAATTCTCTCTACTGTCTCTTCTAGAATTCACAAGAACAATCCTTGGGGAAAAATGGGTTCTACTGTTTGTTTAACCTCTTTGGTTATCTCTATTTCTTATCTTATTAGCTCTCTATTATCTTCAAACAGATTATTTTTAAAGATTTCTACAGCTATTTTCACCTCATGGAAATGTTGGTCAAAAATGCTTACTCTGCTTTAACTGGAGTACTTTTATATTGATGAATTATCATGTTTCTTTTTAGTGTTACTTTCCTTTCATCCTTTTATTGATTGACATCCATATGTGAATTTATTTCTGTCAATGAGTTAGTCAATCAGAATTTGCAATTAATGAGCAAACTTTATTTTGAGAAAAATCTGATAAGTCTTACTAGTAAGCATCATCTCCAACCTTACCATGTAGTTTATTGCTGGCTGCTGTCTATCTTTGATTCTTACCATTGTATTTTGTTTTATGCTCAAATAGTCACTAAACATTGTAGGTATGACTGTACTTAGATTTTATGTTAGTCCATTCCCCTTATTTGATAGAAGTGGGGGTTGCTATTGCATATCTTGAGGAACATTCTATTTATTCCTTTTAAACTACCCTTTTCTCATCTTCAAAGATAATCTCTTCAAGGAAGACTAATTTCAACCAGCCAGCTGACAGGAAAGAAGGGTCAGAGGTGGAAACTTCTCACTCTTATTATGAGTTGATTGTTCACTCTTTATACTATGTGATCTTCCAGTAAACTTGTCTTTAAATTATGTTGATATGTACAAACTACTGCAAGAAAACTTAATTCTCAGGGTTCTAAGAAGAGACATTAGAGATGTAAAGAGGAATATGATATATAACTAAATGTAAAAAAGAACAATCATTTTAATTTTTATACATCAGTTGTACTAAATATTGTCACTATTGCCAACTCCTCTGGTATTTGGAACATAGTAATTGAACTGAATTATAGAGTGAGTGAAACTGATGATATTATGTAGGAAAGCCTTGTTTAAAAATATCTGCTCTTGTGTCAGTTTGCTGAGAATGATGTTTTCCAGGTTCATCCATGTCCCTACAAAGGACAGGAACTCATCGTTTTTGATGGCTGCATAATATTCTATGGTGTATATGTGCCACATTTTCCCTGTCCAGTCTATCTACGCAACAATCTTGCATGTTCTTCACATGTACCCCAAAACCTAAAATGCAATTAAAAAAAAACAAATCAAAAGCCAACAATAGCAAATATATATATCTCTGATCCCCGTCTCTACTAAAATTGCAAAAATTAGACAGGTGTTGTGGTGCATGCCTGTAGTCCCAGCTACTCAGGAGGCTAATGTAGGAGAGTTGCTTGAACCCAGGAGGCAGAGATTGCAGTGAGTTTAGGTCATGCCACCGCACTCCAGCCTGGGCAACAGAGCGAGACTCTGCTTCAAAAAAATAAATAAATAAATAAAACCTGTGTTCTGGTAAAATGTATATTTTGAAAAATCAATGGGTGTCAATTCCCATCAAGCATTGTAAGACCCAACAATTTACTCACATATGGGCTTGATTTTCCTGTGGCATGTTTCATTTCCACAAACAGAAAATCTCATTGATTTGGAAGTTATTGATCAGAATGTCCTTCTCTGTTACCGAGTGCTGAAAAGGAAGAGCAGCGCTTCTCAGATATGTTTGGAACTCCAAAAATCTCCGCTACATCTTAAAGAATATTACTCTGGAATTTTGGACTGTCTGCAAAGTTGCTGCAGTCCCAATAAATGTTAAAAAGTTTAACTACAATTTATTGCATCTGTTTCATTGAGGGTTGTCTTAATATTTGATAATTATTGAGGAGAGCTTTTGAATTTTTGCTGCATATGTGGGAGAATACAAATATGATTATTATTATTTTGCTGTAAGAATTCCTTTTTATTCCAAGCAGTAGATCACCTTTTGGGTTTCTATCACTCAGGAAGTGGTAGAGGGTTTGCATAGCTAAGCAGGAGGATAGGGTCTCTCAGTGAATGTCTTAGCTTCTGGTTTGCTGGTGCAGAGTGGTTGTAGTTTATCAACTTTCCAATGACTGATTCCTTAAATCAATTCATAAGACAGTGATATTTGAACCACAATGCCAAATAATTATTAATTACAATGGAGAAAATTTATTTCTGGTGGTCTGTATCCACATACCTCCTTTGTAGTGTCAGGATACCTTAGGGGTACTCAGAATTTTGCTTGCTTATATGAACAAAGGGAGATAGCTAATCTTAAAATCTGTTTGTTTTTTTCATGCTATGTAAAATCCAGAGAGCTCTCCCTGCCTTTTAGATTTCTCAACTCTAGTGAGCTTTAGAGAGAGCAGCATGTCTGTTCCTATAATTCAGTCTTGCTTTCTTCTGAATAATCCTTGATAAACAAAGAGGAATTTCTCTGCTTTGCACTTGCCTTTATTTGACCTTTGCTGAACATTGCCTTGATGTTTATGCATCTCTTTTTTCAGAATAATAATCCCATTGAACATTTTCTGAATAACTAGTTAAGTCTTTTCTGGGATAGTCTACTCTCATGCCACTAATAAAGACAAACCCGAGGCTGAATAATTTATAAAGAAAGAGGTTTAATTGACTCACAGTTCCACATGGGTGGGGAGGCCTCACAATCATGGTGGAAGAGCAAGAGATGTCTTATATGGCAGCAGGCAAGAGAGAGCTTGTGCAGGGGAATTCCCCTTTTTAAAACCATCATATCCCATGAGACAGATTCACTATCATGAGAACAGCATGGGAAAGACCTGCCTCCATGATTCAATTACCTCCCACCAGGCTCCTCTCATAACACATGGAAATTATGGGAACTACAATTCGAGATGGGATTTGGGTGGGGACACAGCCAACCCATATCATAGACACTGCTTTTTGAGGATTTTACCTAAAAACATTGTCTTTCTGAAGACTTTTACAATAAATCTATCTTTTCCTTGACATATTTATTTTACTGATTTAATTTGCAGAAGATAACCATCTTAGGTATTTGGTGGGCATTATCTATTTTATAGATTATGTTCATAAGTTAATATACACAAACATATTTACATATTTCATATCGTCTCTCAGAATAATAATTTTTACCCCTAAAATTACCTAATCTTTTTCTCAAATGAAGAAAGAAAGAAGATCATTCCTTTGAAATAAAAATTGCATTTGTGTAGTTGGGAGACTTTCTTGAATGATATCTTGAAACTAAAGAGGGAAATAATTACTAAAAGGAATCCATACTTATTCCCTGTCCAAATGTAGTAAGTAAAGAATGACTGGACTGTGTTTCATCTTTGGAGCCATGTGTGAAAAGTGGTACAGAAAGACTTGGCTTAGTCCCAGTAGTAGTGTGAATCTGTGTAGGAGAAGCCAGTGGCAGGTTGTCCCCAGGTATCTCTGTATCATTTTAAGAGCCTCTACTGGGAAGCAAGAATTAGAAGAACAGGCAATTGAAATGAATAAATAGCAATAGGGTTAAATAAGAAGTCTTCAGGTCCTCAAAAAATGAAAAATGGAATTACCATACATTCCAGCATTCCCATTTATGGGCATATATCCAAAAGAATTGGAAACAGTATCTCAAAGAGTTATTTGCATATTCATGTTTCAGTGCACCATTATTCACAATAGCCAAGAGCTGGAAGCAACTTAAATGAACATGGACAGATGTGTGGCTAACGAGATGTGGTGTATATCTATGGAATATTATGGAGCTTTGAAACAGAAGGAAGTCCCATCATATGCTATGGCATGGATGAATCTTGGAAACATTCTGCTAAGTGAAATAAGCCAGTCACAAAAGGACAACTTCTGCAATTCCTCTTACAGGAGGAATTTAGAGTAGTCAGACTCTTAAAAACAAAACATAGAAAACTGGTTGCCAGGGGCTGTGGGAGGGGAAAATAGGGAGTTGTTGTTCAGTGGGTGTATAGTTTTAGTTTTGCAGGATGGAAAGTTCTAGAGATCTGTTACACAACAATGTAAATACAGTTAACACTGTGCACTTAAAAATGGGCAAGATGGTAAATTTTATGTTACATATTTTTTCAAACACAATTTAAACATGAAAGGATTGTCTTGGATTGTATTGCTTTTCTCCAGCTTCAGACCGACACCAGGATACTTGCCACCCCCATCACACCTCTACATTGTCCTGTGGGACCTCACACTTCTCCTGGTCTTGCTTTCATTGCATGTGGATTTTCCTGTCCACAGTTCTCGGTTCACTACGTTATCAAAGAGTTAGAAGGCAGAGTGCTGAGACATTTAGAGGAGACAAAAGCTTTGCTTGTTTGGGAGAGGTGGAGAATACTTGCTTTCAAAATCTTTCCTGATCTTGGCCTCGTTTTCTTGTTATTTACCAGTAAGTCCCGGGGATAATGTTTGGGTGGACACAGAGTCTGTGAACTCCTAGGAGATACCGTCCAAGCACCCAGGCTGAAGGCTCTGGAGGAGCTAATATAGAGTGTATGAGAGAGGGGTGTGTGAACTAGACAACCTTTAAAGTTCTTTCAACCTCTGAGATTCTACTTTGCCCCTCAAATCTATTTATCTTTTATTGTCATAAACACAGGCTTTTGTGACACATTTACTCAAGATGTCCCTGTTGACATTTTATATTTTTCTAAATGTCATGCTCTTATCCATTGTATATGAAATTTATATTAATTTCTATATGGGACAATTTATACAAAGTAAGAGGGCTTTGTATGGTTTTGAGATTCTGAAAATTTTGATTTATATTAGGTATTACACCAGATTTTCTGTAATAACTTCCCATTTCTGCATTATCTTCTGACTTTGAAAGTGAAGGAGGCCATAAACTATATTTTACAGTTAAAAGGCCTTTAAAAAATATCAATAGAGTCTTAGCTTTGGTATCAGTGTGCCATCTAGGGACAAACAGTCCTGTCTCAACAATTTTATTTATTTTACTTATCTTAACACATAATTTATTAGCAAAGACTCCACGAAGCTAGCCTTCTCCTAATGTAATGCATTAATCTAAGTGGGACATGGACACTGAGGCCAAACCACAACAACCTGCATTATTCAAAGCAGGACAATTATTTCCTGAAGATGAAAGTCCCTTTATGAGCACTGTCAATTTTTCATCTTTTTTTCCATAGTAAAACTGTTTTTTTATCTGGTTCCTCTTGGTATCCCAGGTGGTAGCTAACGTTTAAATCATGACATATTTGCTAGAAATCCCATCTATCAAGAAGTAGGAACAGGCAGTACTGCGTTGAGAGAAAGGGGACTTGTAGTGGATTCAAAATAATTTTATGTTTTAAGTATCCTCCTTCTATACAAATGGAAAGTGGATATTTTTAACATTCATCAATGGCTTCACACAGAACACGTTTTGGAAGTCACTTAGGCTTTATAACATTCAGCATACTTACATGTGAATTTTTATAGATAGGCAGTTAAGTCACAACACTCAATACCTAGGACTTCTCTCGTGTGTTAGATTTCCTCAAAGTGTCTTAGCAAATGTTCATAAATGTTTTGATTTATTTTAACTCCACAGTGGCTTACCTTAAAGTAAACAGTCACCTGGAAAAGCTTTTATGACTCTGCTTTCCTAGTGAGAGCGGATTTGCTATTGTCCAGTAGAAAGCCGTATGGGTGGGTATGGAGTTGACCCTTGGAATCAGACATTAGACTGCAGCACAGACCGGAATGACTTGCATTGGCTGCAATGAAGGAACATGCAATGGACAAACAAATGCTTTCATTATGTTAGATGGCACCGTTTTGGCTTCCTTCTCTTTGACATTTCTTCCCCTTGAATTAGAGGGAAGTCTGCCTGGTTCATTTGTGGATCATCAGAAATATAATAAGGATAGCTCTTTTAAAATATAAAATTTAAAAAGAACATATCTATAGAAAATTCTAGAAGCTTATTAATTTTCATTATTAATGTCACCTCTATTACTTATTACAGAGTGGCAACAGAACAATCTGGAGCCAGACCACTGGGTCTGAATCTCAGCACCCCCGCACCTTTCCTACTTATCTAACTTGGGGCAAATGAACGAAAGCATTTTGTGTCTCTGTTTCCACTTTAGTAAAACGGGTCATAAATTGTACCTAGTTCATGATGACAGCATGAGGATTAAATGACCGTTCAAAGAACATGGAGCAAAGCTTGTCACATTTAGCTTATTGAAAAAGGCAGTTTCTTACTTTGGTTAAAGAGAAACAAACCAAACCCAGCCCTGTGGTTAGCTTTCTAATAGCTCCAGTGATGGGTAAGTGAATGGAAAAAAGGCTTTCATTACATGAAAATAAATAAATATTAAGTGCCTACTATAAGCAAAGTAGTACACTAGGGAGAGGCTTAGAAGTGAAAGGTGTAGCTCCAAATGCTGATGGGTGATGCAGTTAGACAAGAGACAAGAGGGAGAGGCTCACTGGGGGTCTCCTGTAATGCCCTGTGCATCTCTCTCATAGCTCTATGTGTCATTCTTGCTGGTTTCAAGGGTACCCTCTGCCTTTTAACAACAGGCTCTTTGTTTTAGCCCTAGTGCCTTACAGTTCCTGGAGGAGACTAGGTGTTCAACTCGTATTTGTTGATTGAATGAATAAATGCATGAATCCTTTTGAAAAAAAAAATGGCCATGAAACTATTCACTAAAGAAGTGAGATTTGATATAGGCTTTGAATGTTGAGGGAATTTGCATAAGAGTTGCCAGATCAATTACAGGATGTCCAGTTAAATTAAAATTTCAGATAAACAATAAATATTTTTTTCAGTATAAAAACGGTTCATGCAATATTTGGGATATACTTATACTAAAAAATGATTCAATGTTTAAAGTTCAGACAATGAATTTTTTTGTATAAGTATATCCAAAATATTACATAGAATATACTTTTACTAAAATCTATTCATTATTTTTCTGAAATTCACATTTTCTTGGATGCTCTGTGTTTTTTTTTGCTAAATCTTGCAACCCCAATAAGAAAAATAGGAAATAGAAGGAATTTTAATTTAAGGAAGTGGCAAGGGAAATATATGTAGGCATTTTGTTTTTAAGAAAATTAGTTTTTGGCCGGGCGTGGTGGCTCACGCCTGTAATCCCAGCACTTTGGGAGGCCAAGGTGGGTGGATCACGAGGTCAAGAGATCGAGACCATCCTGGTCAACATGGTGAAACCCCGTCTCTACTAAAAATACAAAAAATTAGCTGGGCATGGTGGCGCGTGCCTGTAGTCCCAGCTGCTCAGGAGGCTGAGGCAGGAGAATTGCCTGAACCCAGGAGGCGGAGGTTGCGGTGAGCCGAGATCGCGCCATTGCACTCCAGCCTGGGTAACAAGAGCAAAACTCCGTCTCAAAAAAAAAAAAAAAAAGAAAAAAAAAGAAAATTAGTTTTTGAGTAGAAATATCTGAATGAAGAATTGGGGTGTGAATAATCCCAGGAATAGTACTCTTTCTTCCTCATTGATTTTTTTTTTTAAACTGTATATTTTTGAGCACCCTCTTCTGACCCCACCTTCATATTCCTTGATCCACCAGCATAGATGATCTATATAAGGTAAAGGACAAAGGTTTTCCAAGACACATAGCCTTTATCATTCAACCTGTGAAGTTACCTTAAACACTACTGCCT